AGTCTCTGTCCTTCGTGTATGACAAACGATCGGCCGTAGCGTTGAATTAACTCTTGGCCGAACGGTGTACGTTTGATTAACTCTACCGAGGCGTATCCGCCAAGATGCATTGAGTCTCCGTTCATGTGTATGACAGCCGGGATACTTGCCGATATTCCGTAACGTGTAAAGCGGCTACATGGGCGGTCGTACGATAGCATTAATTTGAATTCGATGACTTTCGAGGAAGGTCGAAGATGTGAGGCCATCGACAGTTTTTATCACCGGCAGATTCTATGGGGGGAGGTATGGTACATGCGCCGCCCTTTGGAATCTCATTTCAAAAAATGTTTATAATTAAAGTGTCATATATATTTTTATGTTTCTGAAATGCTTAACACACTTTTGGTATTTCGAAAAAATATTTTTTTTATTTAAGAAATTCCTAGATATATACATTATGTATATATATATATAAAAAAAACAATTATAATAGATTCCATTATATTTTTCCTTTTTGCGTTATACAATTTTAAATAAAACGTTTTATGAATTGAACGTTCCTTAAAGTAGTATTATTATTTAAATGTTAATATTCTGTCTTTTTAATTTGGCGATATCATACGTGCCTTTTTTTTCGCTTCGCTCCAATCTCGATCCCTAGATTTAAAAAATTTCGCTTGCTGCGCGCCAATAAATTTTTGAACTTTTCCGACAATGATTTTTACATTAGTTAAATCAGTCATTGCGAGCAGTATGCCGATCCTGACGGAATACTTTGAGCGACGACTGAATGAGTAAACAGTACGAGACTTTTAGCGCTGTGTTTCCACCGTAATTGTCATCGTAATCCGACAAGCTTGCAAAAACAAACCGGCACTAGCTCTCAGTCACAGTCATTTAAATCGCCCACAAGATGGATTTATTCTCAGATCTATTCCTTTCGGTGTTGTACTTGGCCGCGCCCCAGTGTCATATAAACAGGAATTAGGCGGGATCTTGAAGAAAAGGGAGCCTCGTTGAGACGCTCTGATCTCTCTCTCTCTCTCTTTCTCTCTCTTTTTCACACTCAACGAGCCTCTTATGCAAAATCTGCGAGTTACGATCGTAAATAACGGTGAGACGGCTTCTCTCCTCCCATGCGCGCGTCCGTTTGTCGTCGACCGTTTAACGTCGTTAATGCGGTGGTTCACGCTTGCGAAATAACGAAATAACTGGCCGCTGCTGACACGCTGATGCGCGTTTTCCGTCCCGCCATCATCGGTGAGATCGGCGACGACGTCGCGTCGCCTCGGGGCGCCTCCGTTGTCCGTTGCGTTGCACACCGCGCGCATCCCTAGAGCCCCAGCAATTTAGCACATTCTTTTTCCCCCGGCGCTTGCAGGTAGATCCTTAATTATCCAACCGGCCAACGACCGGTTGTCATCGACAGCCAGAGTGATGAGCGCGAAAAGACCACCCGTAGCTTCCCATCCACGTCTTTCATTCGCGGATGAGTATATCCGCAGGGTTGACACAGCTAAACGTTTACGGCGAGGCGAGTGAAAGAAGGAGAAGGATACTACACTATATACATACACGTCGGAGCTTGCTGCATGGCTCTTGGAATGTAAGCAACGAGATAGGTATAAGATAGGTATATGCATATAACACATAATAACGAAAAATAGAAAATATCAAGAGACGTAGCCGTAATGGTTAGAAATGGATACAAAACCCTAACATTACGATACTTATATATAACCTTGTACAATGTAAGTCTTCTTATATAGGTACGTCGTATCGGGAACTCCTAATGTAAAGAATAAATTATAGATGTGGATCCAAATGAGAGCTCACTCGTGCTGCACTTTGGAATGAAAAAAACGATGCTGCTTTAGCGTGAATAACGTGTTCATTTTGCAAGCGACCGTTGTATTCTATGGACCGGTTGGTCCAACGAATTTTTTGCGTCCACGTTAATGGATCCTGCCGATTGTAGGGATATCAACCCGTAATTTATTCATTGTCCTCAATGGAAAGCCATAGTGATAGTTGATTGATGGCGTCGCTGATTCGAGCTGGCCAGCCGCGTTGTTTAATTTATTCATCGAACTCTCTCTCTTTGGCCTGGAAATTTATGATGTTATTATTATGTTTTATATGCAAAGTCATCGATTACCTATGCGCCATTCTTGCTGGTTCTCGCGCAGGTAAAGAAGCGGCGTCCGTGGAAGCGTTCTGATTTACTGGCTTCAAGCAACGGATAACAAAGCATCGATTGTTCTTGCTTGCTTGATGCAGCCAAAAAATAAACTAAGATTAAACTATCAGACCTGCCTCGAAGGCCGATTCGGTCCATATTTGGCCCGATTCGGACATAACCCGATATTTTTGAAACTATTAGGATCCCACTAATTGTTTGTTTTTTTTATTGAAAAATTGTAATATTTGTCATAATACTAATATTTTAATTCTAAATTTTGATAATTTTTTAATTTCAAAATTATTCTTTTACTAGAAAATATAAACTTAGATCATTCTTCTCTCTTTTTATACTGAGATACCTATAATAATATATGGATGTAATATTAGGAAATATAATATCTACCATTTCGATTATTTACATTAAATAACATTGTTTTTAATGTAAGTTTAATGATAAAAATTTTTATAGAGCAAAGTGCGATTGCAAGTGTTTCACTTATTATTACCGGTCTGTTGATGATAAGAGAAACTTTTATTCACTATCTGAATATCCTTTGCTATTGAAATGATGGGATGTCTAACAATTAATAATGTTTCTATAACTAAGTTTTTCATTTGGACGTTTGATATTATCAGTTTCATTTAATAATCTCTTATTTTATTTAATTAACGCATGCAATAATAGTATACATAATTTGTGCATAATAATTAATAATGTGTACATACAGTTTGTTATGTAGGTTTAGGAAATTAATAATGTATATAGTTTGTTATTTTGTAATGATTTTAGGGAATATATTAAATAATTTAAACGATTTACAAGAGTTCGTTCCGTATGTTTAATAACTCGTCGCCCAAATGCCTACGTTTTCGAAAGACCTAGCAATTAAATAAATTTGCAAGTATTGTAATGTGATGTGAAGATTTTTGATTTTTTTGGAGCATCGCTGTAGGCCATGCAATGGCCTACAGTATTCTACATTATAGAATGTTGAGGAATTGAGTTTTCACTAAATCTACGAATAGAATATTCAACGAAGAATTTATATAATTAAAGGTTACACTGTTACAATAATCATAATACATGTGGTTTGAACTATTCATAATTTCATTAGTTTGACCATTTCGACGGTTTATATATGTACGTACACTAACCTATTATTATAAGATTGATATTTTAATACAGATTTATTAGCAAAAACAGCCTAACTAGACTTATTAACCTATCTTTTAACTTATTTTTCAAATTTTATTCTTAGGAACCTTGTCACTTTTTAAATTAAAATTCATTCATTATCTTTTTGTTTCACGATCCACTAAAGGAACCATAAAGACGTCTCTTGACATCCTTTTTTTTAACATTGGCGTTAAACCAAGTGCAACAAGTGTACGCAAAATGCCGTTTTATTGCAAAGCTAAGCGTAAAATTGGATGAATGCCTTTGTCGATAATGCGAATGATAATATTCACGTTCTGTAGTACGTGGCTCTTAACTCTTAAACATGATTCATCCTTCTGTAAAATCTAAATGTCGTACAACCACCCCGAATCGTTCACACGAATTTTTAGGTTTCAATTCGTCTGTTACGCTTCTCTCCGTTTTCCAATAACGCAGTCGAGAGAGTTCGCTGAATAAGGCCTGAACGACGTAACGAGCATGCAGTATTGAATATCGTAATACTGCAAAATTGAGGATCGCTTTCTCAATGCCCGATTGAAAAATGACTTTGTAACGAACGAAATTTGCACGCCACTAAAAGCTTAATTTTTGTATTAGTCTTTTTCTGTCTTCATCAATTCCATATCTACATAAAAATATGCAATATGAATAATATCAATTTGAGCATAATATTATATTTATAAATGAAAACTCTCTTGGTGAATGTATTATTCAGTGTTATTCATAATGATAACGAGAAATTCATTTCAATATTTCTTAGAATATATTCAATAATATTTTTTATTACTGTATATATCGCGCTGAGATTTATTTGCACATTTCGGTCGCATTTCGGTGGGCATTTAGAGAAATCAATGAAAATCGATATAGATATCAAAAATATCTATGTCATCATAATTTACATTACACGAATCAGTATGAATCAGGAATATAGAGCGTTCTATATTTTTGATTCATACTGCTTTGTGTAATGTAAATTATAATATATTTTTTGTTGATTTTGATTGATTTCTCTCAAATCTACTTTAATTTAAATTAATATTTTGATCAGTATCTCTTCTCTCTCTCTCTCTCTCTCTCTCTCTCTCTCTCCTCTCTTTCTTCTTTCTTTCTCTCTCTCTCTTTTATTTTTCTCTTTCTTGCATATAGGAGCTCGTGAATTACTTTATTGTAATTATATATACGATACAATCACAAAATATTTTATCACAGAATATGAAATATGTATGAATATATTAATATACATGCATGTACATGCATATTCCCAACCATGCTATTGCATTTTAATTGGGTTATTAATGTCATTAGTCGGATCGATGCGTAAATAAAGCGCTTGCATTTCCGGTCACTGTATACGCGATATAACCGGATGTGCTCGCGCGAAACAACTTCGCTCCTTCGCTGTTCATCGACATCCGGCAACTTCAGGCACGTATTGAAGCTGATTTAGTACTCGCCAGTCATAATGATCGTATTCCTGGTACTTCTGACGCTTTTCGTCGCGACTATTGATGGCGGTCTGCTCGAAAAATACACCAACGCGCCCGGAAATGTATATCACGGTAGGTAAGTGCATTTGCATTTCATAATCGCTGTCAATTTCTTACCGCGACGAAATCCGTACTAAACTCATGTGTTTTCGTTGGACTTACAAAGACTTACAATTATGACGGAAGATAAGGCTAAGGGCTATTTAACAATCTTTCAAATTTAGAAGGGATGCGCGATAAAATTCGTAAAGAATTGAAAAGTTTACAAAGTGCCGTTTTATTTGCAACCTCAAGTGGCGTTAAACAAAACGCTAAAAATGCCCTTTTTTTCAGCGCTTCGTTAACGCTTTGTAAGCGCTGTGTGCGCTATTTGGAACATTCATTGTTACGTAATTGGTCCTTTTAAACAAACGATCCAGGTTTACCCGAGACATCCATGAGCCAGAGCTGTTGGTACCGAAGCGAGTGCTCGCAGATGGTAGCTTCAGCACGTATTCTCTACCGAATTTCTATAACCGCCGTGAGATCAGCGAGCGCGGTAAGCGATCCCTCGGGCCGACCGATAAACTGCACCTGGTGCTACCCTTCAACCAGATCGATCACCACGTGGAGCTCAGCCCGTACCATGAATTCATCTCGCCCGACATGGTGGTGGAGACACGGGGCGCCGGTATTAGCACTAATCTCAACAAGGGCTTGAGATTCAAAAAGGCGTCCGATCAGCAGTGTCACTATCGCGGTATTGTTCGGGGCCACGCCAATTCCCGAGCGGCTCTGTCTTTGTGCGACGGTGTGGTTAGTATAATATATATTACAGCTCTCTCGATGCTAACGAACCAAAAAAAGAATCTCGGACACACCCATGCCTCGTTGCAATAAATTACGCGGCTTAAAGTACAGATGTCCTTCGATGAAGGACTTTTTGTGAATTGCGTCTTAATTAGTTTGTATGGAAAAGAAAATTCGCTTTGTAAAATTTTAGAGCTTCGCAAATTTCACTTTAAACAGTGAAATCATTCTTAGGATTGAAAATTGAGCCTCTGTTTTTTCAACACTGGCTCATGTTTCATTTTTCCAAATGAGATATCATTCCAAAGAATTTAGAGAGCGTGATATACTTATTACGTTTCGCAGAGATGCTATATTAATTAATTGTTTACACGTTCAAAGATAAATTAATTAATATAATTGCGCGATTTGATGATTTTATTTGTCTCTTCGTGAAAATTAATTAATTCAGCCAGATTGAATGTCCAGATTGACGTAACGTTCGATAGCGTCGGATTTTAATCTTCACGCTTGCAATTCGCATGGCTCGTTATTAATTTTGATGAGAGAGTTGCGAGCTAGAGAGATGGAACAGAATTTCGAAGTGGCTACGAGTGTGGTTGGTGCATATAATGCGTTCCATGGATTCCTTCGGGAGATTAACGTTAACGAAGCAAGAGAAGACTCGCGAATGCAGTCGGACGAATATTGTAGAAAGGTTGTGCTGGAACATTCCCTAAATCCCGGCGAAATTCGATGCGAATGTTATGTGACATTTTTCATGACGATATTCTCTCACATTTTACGTTCACCAAGCTCGACGCAATAATATTAGAGGTAGAATGCAGCTTTTGAATATTCAAAAGCTTGTGATGTGATTGCCATTTATAATAAAGCATCCTGATAGGTGATGCTAAAGGTTATTTTACTACAACATATATTTTCAGGTCGCTAAACATCTACTCGTATACTAAATATCTACAGAGATAAACGATGCTATTTTAGCTGATCTAGATTTATATATCATGATATGATTTATATCGCGCTTGCAAATTTCATTAATTTTTACTAAACTTAGAATTGCCATTTTCTCCCTCGCATATTTCAGCGTCTGCGATCGTCGCGAAAATAGCAATAGATCGATAAACGCGTACAATCGATGACATTGCAGGGCAATGCGCATCGATTTACATGCAAATGAATTTATCAACATACACGTTTCTAAGTGCGTAATACTATAAAAGAGTCGATCCTGGGTGAACTACGAGCGCGCAGTGAAACGTAACGTGTGTCATGCAGCGGCATTTAATCGCGGTGCTATAGTGACGCAATATTCATTGACACGCTGTACTTCGGCCACTTGCATATCGTCCGTTCGATTAGGTGACTTTTTCCGAAAAATAAAATGGACGATAGTAAGAATCGCGTATCACAGCTGTGAGCACGCTGTCGATACTTTCGTAAAGCATACCTTTTTGATACAACTACAGCTCGATTGTACCGGCATTAAGAAAAATTGAGTTTCTCGATTACATCACGTACGAGCTCCATATTTGCGTTGAATACACACGTTGCCAATAGTTGTACTCTGCGACACCCTCAATAGCCTCGAAAGTAGTTTTCTGTCGCGATTCGTTATTTTCAAGCTCGTTATTTGCAAAGCGAACGATTACGCGTGCAGATAAAGTGCAAACTACGCGAAACGGATGAAATGCCTGGTTGATTTTATTAAACGTACAGCCGCATGCCGAGAGCGTGATTATCATCTATGATTTTCCGCCGGTCACGCGAATTTGCGGCGAAATGAATCGGTGAACGACATTCGCGTCCGTAACAGGCGACCTGTTAAATGCAGGGTTTCTACGTAAACGTTTCTAACAGGCCTAATTTCACAACTCACAGTTAACTCTTAACCGAGGTTCAACTTGTTCATTATCTCTTTTCAATTTTACACAATTGGAAAGAGATGAGAAACAAGTTGGACCTCTGTTAAGAGTTAACCGTGAGTTGTGAAACTGGGTCTAAATGATGGAACGGCGCGAATCGATCGAAATGTCACGTGAAATGTGACGCGTTTGGCCTTTTCCAATATGATGTCTATTTAAATATCATCCAGTTTTAGTCTCTACATTACATTACATTTATATATAACATATTTATATCGTACTGGGAAGGTATCTCTCGACATGAAGTCTGGTGTAAGTCTGGCGAAATGTTGAAATTAATAACCAACTAGATAGAATTTCTTCCAAAATTTTACTATTCATAAATCTTAACGTTGTATAACGAGAAAAAAATTCACAATATATTTGACACACTTAATTTTATACGCCAGTCGTAAAAAACAACGCTGATCTTTAACACGCGAGATGAAAATTTCGCAACGTAGCGACTTTACGTCAGCCAACTGATACGTCATGCGTAAAAACGAATGTCGATACTTTATTTCATATTATTATCGATAACACCTCTCGCGCGCAGGCTGGCTACGTGCAAACTAATCACGGACGGTACTTCATCGAGCCAGTGTATCAGGCGGAGCCCGAGTCCGACGGCCAACACGTTCACGTGGCTTACAAACGAGATGCGCCGCACGAAAAGAAAGGGCAAACCGTGTCGAAAAGACATTGCGGGACCAGCGGTTGGTATCTCCTCAAATATTTTCCAATACATTCTTATTTCTCTCTGTTCCCTTCTTCCTGAAAGTATTAATTTTGAATAAAGTTAGGAAATTGAACGCGCGAAGCTACGAATTGCCTGGCATATCCCCATCATTTTTTAATTTTAACCATTTTAAACATTTCACTTAAACTCGAGATGATGTAGTTCTCAGCCT